CTCAAGAAGGCAAGAGGCTGAGCTGGGCCTCAGAGGACAGAAGAACCGAGGGCAGGAAGCCCAACCAGGGGCCCAGGGCCTCCCTCTAAAGCCCTCCCTGTCCCGCACTCCCTCACCCGACCAGCCTCCACCTGCCCTCCCTTCCCTGAAGTTTCCTCTCCTACATGGCCAAGAGTCCCTCCTGCCCGGTCTGTGCTGCCTGGGAGTCCCCAGAGGGGCTGGTGCTGGAGCAGAGCTCTGAGACCACAGGAGGACACCGGGTGGAGGCTGAATAGAGACTCCAGGTGGACTCCACCGGGTCTCACTTCCACTCTCAGCTTTGTGGGAGTCTCTGTCCCCCAGTTTCCTCACATGAGGGAATCAACCCTACTTCTTAGTGAAGAATAAAGGAGCTATTACACGTACCCTTACTTAATGGGCATTTGTGTTACTCTTCCCACGTGACGGGCACTACCCTAAGTGCCTCACACATATGAAAAAGCGCAGAACATATGCCCAGCACGTGGTCCACAGGATGGCAGGGTTTTGCTGCTGGCACCATGAGCCCCGCACGTATCACTCAGTGGGCTGAGCAATTCAACCTTCCTGCTGCGTGGGTCCCCATCCCCACACACAGTGTCTGCAGCCAACATCTGGGCCTACTTTACAGCAGAGGAAGCCAAGGCTGGGGTGATGCGGCTCCTCCAAGGACAACCCAGAAGCACTCGTCTCTAACCCAAGTCCTTTCTGTAAAGCAAGCAGTGGCTGGGGAGGGTCGCTTGCACGATTTACAGCAAGACCTGATGCAAGTCCGGATATGACCAGAGGCTTGACAAGGGTCGAGGATGCAAAGCCACTGTCCCTCAAAGTGGAATGGATAACCCCAACCAGCACACCTCCCAGGACTGATGTGAGAGCGAGGCCAAGGACTCTCTAGAAAGCTCATCTGGGAAGAGAAGGCCACACTGCGACTCTCCCTGGAGGAGGGAACGCGGTGAAGCCACGCCGCCCATTGAGATTCCACTTGGGTTACTCTGACAGAGCCGATCATAAGAAGCAGTCCCCACAGAAAGGCTGGGAACAGGGGCCCTGAAAGTGTTGACTGTCCAGAAGTGGACGGCACAAAGCCGGGGACAGTACGACATCACGGGGCTCACTGCAGGCACAGAAGTAAGCAGAGTGACCAGGACCTGGGCCTGGGACCTGAAGACCCCGCTCTGCCTGGGAGGGAGATCTCAGGCAGAGCCCCAGCAGCCCTGAAAACCAATTTCTTCTTTCCCCAAACACTTTATTATGAGAATTTAAAATACAAACTTAGAGTAGGAGACTAAAATAATGGCCCTCTATGTGCCCATTACTCAGCTTCTGCAAATATCAACTGCTCACTTCTTATTCCTCTCCTGTTCTCCCCCATAGGATTTGGAAGCCAGTCCCGAGTCTGTCACTTTACCTGCTAAGATTCAGCCTGTATCCCTAAAAGAGAAGGAGAGGAAGAGAAACAGGAGGAGGAGAGGCAGGGGGAGGCAGGGAGGTGAACGGGCAGGGAGGAGAGTAAGAGGCAGACAGGGAGGAGCCAGGAGCTGTGGTGCAAGGCTGCATCCCAGCTGCTCAGGAAGCTGAGGCAGGAGGGTCCTAAACTGGAGGCCAGCCTGGGCAAGTTAATGAGACCTTGCCTCAAAATAAAATTTGGCAAAGGGACACAGTCAGTGATAAAGCTACTAGCATGCACAAAGCCCTGGTATTTGCTCAAAAAGAAAAAGGCACAACTAAATGCCTTTATCACATCTAAATACACTGAAAAAGATTTCTTTAAAACTAATATTCACTCCAGGTTAAAATATCCACTTGCCTTATGGCTGGCATTTTAAAAGTAGTGTGAATCAGGCTCTCTTTAGGTTTTTGTGTTCACTGGCAATTTTTTGCTTTGTTTTGTTTTTTGAAACAAGGTCTCATTATGTATTCCAGGCTGGTCTCAGACTCACAGCGATCCTCCTGCCTCAGCCTGAGAATCCTCTAACTCTATTTATAAACCCACAAGCCAGTGGCCATGGCATGTGCCTCTGGTCCCATCTGCCTGGGAGGCTGCAGCCAAGAGGCCGATGGCTTGAGCCAAGGACTTTGGGGCCAGCCTGGGCCACATAGCAAGAGCCCGTCTCAAAAATAACTTTTCAAATACATCTCTCACGACCTCTCTCCCCACCTCTGGTTTCTTTCTTCTGTCTCCTCCTTTTTCTCCTCCACCTTCTCCTCCTTCTTCACAATTTACTTACTGAAGAAACTGGGCCTTTGGCTGATAAGTGTCCCATGGCACAGATTTTGCAGATAAGGCCAGTGTCTTCTCTGTAAAGTGGGGGTTATAAATTATCTCCTATAGGTGAGTAAGCCGATGTGTGTGCACGGGTGCGGACAATTGGGAGACAGCCCGCGCTGTCATGTGTTAATACGTTGAGTCTTTCCATCGCTACACTCAAAGTTCAGAGACGCTTACTAAACTGTCCACACTCACACAGCAGGGGAGGACAAGACAGGAAGGAAGCCATAAGACCTGGCAGACACCCACGCTCAGATCCCACTGCACCCTCTCACTTTGAGACTTGGATCTCTGCTCTTCATTTACAAAAAGGCCAGCAGGCCAGAGTCGCCTGGGGCTAGGCAAGGTAACGGGAGCAGAGCTGGCCAGGATGCCCCTTGCTGTCTGCCCTCTCCTCCCGCCACGTGTGGCACAGCTGCCTTCCTCCCCAGGTGGGGTTGAGGCTCACGGCTCCAGTGGTGAGAGCTCAGGTCCTCAGCCGGCCTCCCGCCCACTCCCGGGCTGGCAGAGACAGTGGGCCTGGATGCTGAGCACACTCTGTTCTCAGGGCAGCTCAGGCCAGCGGCTGTGACCTCTTGGTCACTGGAACAATCGGCCATTCTTCCTCTTTTCCTCGGGCCAAGGGGCCCAGAAGCAAACGCTCAGCTCCCAGCAGTACCCAGACCATCTGTGCAGCCTGAACATATGGCAGCTGGCCTCTAACAAGCCCAAGCCTAAGTCACAGGTCGAACCAGAGCCCCTACTGACAGTTTGATTTCGACCCAGGTTTGAGGTCCCTTCTCCACTCAGTAGTCAGCAAGCTGGGCCCCGCGAACCTTAACACCGACAGTAATGGGGACAACACCAATCATAACAACGGCACAGTCACAGGGCTCCTTGCCTATGCCCAGCACAGGTCCAACCCCGTGCGCATGAAACACACACAGGGTTCCTCTCAACAGGGAGGAAACTGAGCACCAAGGGATGGAGCTCACCCCAGACCATGCAGCTTGTGAGTGTGATGGCCATGGAGGCTAAGCTTCAGGCCGGACATTCCAATACAGTGTCTCAACAAGTCCTCACTTTGGCCTCCAAATGGCAACTCTCTTGTCCCCTTTCACATGTGGGGACAGGGAGACCCAGAGAGGTGCCAAGCACAGAGCCACACGGTCTGACCCCCAGGCTACGCTGTCCACTCATCCAAGGGGATTTCAGTGCGGAAGGAGGGCAGTGGGGATGCCTGAAGGAAGACTACAGGCCGAGGGAATCAGAGGAAGAGCAGCATGGCCTTCCAGAAGCTTCCTGGATAAACAGCCACATGCACTTGGCATTGAATCCGGGTGACCCAGTCCCTCATATCACAGCATGCTTTTAACTAGAGCCCAGCTCTCTGCAGGGCCAGCCTTCTCTCCATTTTATGGCTGTGTAGACTGAGACTCCAAGTGACAAGCTGTTTGAGGTCCCACAGTGAGGCCCTGGGCCTTGGGCTCTGCTCCTGAACTGCCAAGCAGTGAAGCGGGGTAGAGTTTGGAGGTGCAGCTGAGGGCGACGGACCCCTGGCCCCACACCAGTGCCGTCCGTCAGGAGGCCGGTTATTGTTCAGCTGCCAATAGACTGTGCCCGGAGGGGAGGGGAAGGGGGGCAAAGATGGGTCTGCCCTGGTGACGTCTCACCTCTGAGTCCCAAGCAGAGGCAGGTGTAAGTGGACCCTTGAGAGCATTTATTGGCCGAAGTAAGAGGAAGAAGTGGCAGGGAGGACCCTGACCAGATCCATAGGCCTTATGGTCCAACCCAGGACCCTGTGTATCACATTTTAAGAGGAAGAAATTCCAGAACTATCTGCAGGGCCTAGAGAGGTTTCCATGGCGGAGGGACATGCGTGACTGTGACACCCACGCCTAGGTGTTGTCCCTGGCAGGGAGCAGAACCGTTCCACATGGACTCCAGCGAGAGGCCACATAGCCAAGAAGAGTTTCACATGAGAAGGGCCCAGATTTCAGAGCAGACTGACAAAGCGTGGCCCTCAGGGTGCACCTGGCAAGAGAGCTGGGCAGAGCGGAGGCTGGGAAGGGTCCACCGAGGCTCTAAAGGCAGCTTCTGTACTCCCAGGAGGGGCCAGGCTGGCTCGGGACCCTCCGAGGTCCATGTCCCTGCAAATCCAGGCAACCAAATTTCTAGCCCTGGTTCTGTTCTGTCCCAGCTCTATCACCAAAGATCCTGTGAGCCACACCAGCTGCCAGAGGCTGCACTGACCACTCTTCTTTGTACAATCCCCACCACACTCCATTTGGGAGACCCTGTCATTCCATTTCATGGATGAGGAAACTGAGGCTCAGAGAAGCCAAGATTCTTGCCAAGAGTCAGAGCTAGGAAATCACTTCCTGAGTGTGAAAATAGTCATCAGGCCCAAAGCCACCCACCTTGCAGCTCTGAGTCCACTATGCAATGGAACCAGGATTCTCTCTTTGTGGCCTGAAATCAGAGTTCTCCTCCCACCCCCTCCACCCCTGGGGGTAAACCACAGCCCCATCCCTCCTCCCCTTAACCACACTCAGCTCTGGGGTTTCCCAAACACTCTGAACCCAGGGCAGCTTTTACTGTAATGGCTCCCACAGGAGCTGCCTCTGCTCCGTTCTCAATTTCTTTAAAGGGGATGGTGGCTGAGGCTGCAGCGGGGCCAGGGCTGTGCCTTTCCAAAGTCACCTGTATTAATATCACTCCGGCAACGGTGCATCGTTTCAGCTTAATTTTATTTCCTCTTATAAATGGGCACAGCACGGGAAATGTTAAAAACAAAAATCAAACAAAAAACAAAACAAAACCAGTTCCTTCCCCAGGCTGGGCCAGGCACACACCCACAGTGGGCCAGTGCCTTGGTCCCCTTGTCCACCATCTTTCCTCCACTTCTCCTTATTGAGTTTTGGCCATGAACTCAGGACAGGGACGGTTAATAAAGAGGTCGTGGGCGGGGGAGAAAGGGAAGGCAGGCGGGAGGGAAGGATGAACTCCTACCCACCGCCGGCCGGGCCGGGAGGGCTCTGTACAGAGGAAAGGACTCACCAGAGGGGAACACTGTCTTTAGGGGGCTCTCTGGAGCCACGCTGCCTACGAGAAATATTTACATGCATTCGTCACGCTGGGGCCAGGCAGGCACCTGGGGGATGGGGGGCCTTCAGCCCGTCGATGGTGACTCCCGGGCCCAGTCTTGGCCTCTCTAACTCTGTACAGTTTGTGGGCTTCTATTTACAGACTGGAGGCATGGGGAGGCAAGTCCAAGGTTGTGGCTGACAGAGGAAGCCAGGAGAGCCGAGAAGGCCACTCCGGCCTGGGAGGCCAAGTTGGCTCTGCTCCCAGTCTGGCCCGATGGCTGGCTTTGCCAACCACAAGGGCCTGGCCTGAGTGCCCTAGGCCTCTGCCACACAGGCCTCCCTGCCCCATTTGCTACCCACATTCTTCCAGTGATCAAGGGGACCAGCCTTTCAGGTGAAGTCCCATCGGCTCTGGCCACCTGGAGAGACCGAACTTGGGCTCTGGTAAGCACAGCCAGGGATCAGTCCCGCCCCCAGTTCAGCTCAGCCTGCCTTGTCCTCCAGTGGGCTCCAGCAAAGCCCAGGAGAGTTCTCAAACCACACAAGCTCCCTCTCATTTGGAATGTGCTGTGCTCCCAGGAAATGCCAGGGCCTGCAGGACACCCTCCCGGGAGCACTGGGGTGTCTGCAGGCCTGCCTGGCTGGCCCTGCACATTTCACACCATACCTGGGGTAGGGAGAGGCCTCCGCACCCCCATTGCACTGTAGAGCTCCAGCTCACCCATGGCTGAGCTCTTTGATTGCCCTGCTCCCCGCCCTGCCCAAAGACTGGCCTGAAGACCTGGCCTGGGCAGACCACATTAAACTTCATGAAGATAAAGCCTGGACCTTGACCATGGGTCCAGGGCTCCATGCACAAGGCCCTCAGCCTCTCTTAAGGACTAAGGTCACAGAAGGGGTGCTGGTGCCAGGAGGCCCCAAGTCCAAAGCCAGCACTTGAGCTATGAGAAGTCAGGCCAGCCAAAGCCACCCCACGTTGGCTAGACAACACAGAAGTTGTGTCTACTGCTGGACCCTGTCCCAGTACCAGTGTCCCTGAGGCCTGGGTGCCCAGCACTGCCTCCTTCACACTTCCTAGGTTCTCAGCCTTGGCCTGCCCAGGCCTTCTCACCAGGGCTGCCACCCCTGAGACAGCAGCCCACCAGGGATCAGTGGAGAGGGAGGCCGGGGAGGCCGGAGCTTCTGCTGCAGGGCCCACGGAGGCCCAGGCCTCCTCCCCTCTCGGTCTCTCAAAGGCTCCAGCTAGCTGGTTTCCTCACACAACTCTGGGCCCTGCTGAGGAGGGCTTCAAGGTCTGAAAGGACCCCTGGAGCCTGGCCCTTGCTGCCTCAGCACCCCACCCCTCCCCTGCAGAGGTCCACTGCCAGGGAATCTTCAAAAGGGAACAGAAATAAAACTGGGGTGGGCTCCTGACTTGGATCTGGGCTATGGGTGACAGGTGGGCATGGGAGGGCCAACTAGTTACAATTCACACCACCACGTCCCCGGGCTCCCAGAGCCCCTGCCACCTACCCCAAAGGGGACTGGTGATCCCTCACTTAAAATACCTATAAAATGGCCCCACTTTCACGGGTAACAAAGCAGGGGAAGGCAGGCCTGGGGCCTGTGACACAGCTCCCCTTGCTGTCACCTGTTCTAGTCCCTCAAATACCTGCCTTGAGGCCTGGGTCATCTGGATGGGCTGCTTCCAGCTGTGGGCCCATGCAGCAGCAGCAGCCAGAACTGCAGACTTGTTTGGTCAAAGGGGTGGGCAGGCATCCACAGGGAGGCCTGGGGGTCTAGGGGGCAGGGGATGCAGAGGGCCCGGGCGGAGGGCCAGCCCTCACAGGCACTTTGGAAACTTGTGTCCTGGGAGGCAGGATCAGCCCCCTAACTCAGAGCAGGAAAAAGATGTAGGAGCCAAGAGCCAGACCACTCACCCCATCCCCACCCAGGGCCTTTGGTCCAGGGAAACCCAAGCACCCTCCACAGCCCAGGGCCAAATTTTAGGGTGCAACCCTGTCCTTCTCCAGCCTTGGTGAAAGTCCCAGGGCTCTCAGCAGGTGGGGCTGGCCCTGAACATCTCCCTTTGTGGGCACGGAGGGAAGGGAAGCAATCAGGGGTGAGGCCAGGCCCTCAGGTGTGCAAAGCCCTGGGTGGGCTGGTAGCAATGTCCACTTGCACCACACTATACTTCAGGAAAGGCAAATGCCCCCCCTTTCTTCCCCAATGAGTGCAGGGTTGTGTGGACTATGCATCCACCTGGGGCCGTGTCTGACCAAGGCCGGGATGGGTGACAATGTGGCTGGTGTGGGCACCTTGATGTGGGACCGAGTGTTAACAGGGCAACTGAGACCCAATATGGGCTGACTGTTCCAATAGAACTCTGCCTTCTCCGATGAGCCTAAAAGAGCTCGATATGATGTGTGTGGTGGCAGTGTGGGGGGTGGAGGGACAGAGAGGCAGACCACACTGTCACCATCCAGGTGACCGTAAGTAGTGACTGGTATAGCAGAGGTGTCTGGAGAGTGGGTTAAGCAGTACATGAAGACACATATCTTTGGAAAACGTGTCTGTAAGGTGTCTGGCTGGGCGAAGCGGTCAGCACTGGATATGCTTTTGTCACTGCTCTATTCTGTCTTCTATGTGACCAAGTAACAATATATATAACAGACTGGGTGGTAGTGTCAGAGTAGAATATGCTCACAGGAGGTATGTCAGGTAGCTGTCCTCACTGGGGGCTGCTTCTGCACTCTCAGGAAGCCATGTCCTCGGGGTAGGGAGAAGGAAACCTAGGGCACATATGCACTGGGCAGAGAGGGGAGAATGGTCCCAGAACCCCCAGGAGGCCAGGACAAAACAGGCTGGTGACAAATAACACTCCCTCAGCCAGGCAAAGAGAGGCCCTGCAACAGGAATGAGGCTTTGTCGTCTAGATGATTTCAAGGGCTGAGTTTGCCACGTGTTGGTCCTGGAAGCCAGCCTGTGGGCCTCTCTGACCCAGGAAGGAGACTGAGCCAGCCCTTTGGGATTTCGCAGAGGCTCAGCCCATCTCAGGGTCTATCTCTTCCCTTTCTCCCACCAGCCAATCAGAAGCTTCCTTCCTCCAGTCCACTGATGTAAGGTCCCAAAGCCCCAGGCTGGTGGGAGATAGGAGATGAGCTCCTAAGGGCACAGACTAGGGCAAATGGTAGCATCCCCATTCCTCACAGGGCAATGCGTGAGGCTGGAGCCTGGGCAGGCCAGAGGAGGAGGGCAGAGAAGAACCAGGCCAGGCCCAGTCCCACAGCTGGGCCAGTGAGGCTGGGCCGGGACTGGATGAGGGCGGCCGAGGTTGCAGGGAGGCACTGAGGCTCCGCTAGGCGTAGAACTCCTCCTGCTTGTCAGGCTTCTGGTATGTGACACTCGCCTGCTTGGGCTCCTCCAACGTGTAGCTGCCTTCATCCTTCTTCTTCATGCGGTAGACCAGCAGCGTGACCAGGAAGGCGGCGAAGAGTGCGCCCACCACCCCGCCCACAATCACAGCTACGGAAGGAAAGAACAGAGGTCAGGGTCCTGAGGCAGGATGGAAGAAGGTCGAGGGACGGGACTAGACGCTGGGGCCCAGGTCTAGGAGTCCTAAATCTGCCGGCAGAGCAGGAGTGAAGGGAGAGTTGGCCAGCTCCATCCCCACACCATGCCCACGGCATCCAAACTGGGGGCCCTATACCCACTCCTCACGCCCGCCCTTGGGGAACAGGCTGTGGGCTTCATCAGCTATAGGGTGCCAGCTTGCTGTAAAATGCCCCACTGTTGTTTGATAACCACTAGGAAAGAAAAATCTCTGCCATCCAAACAGCAGCACTTCCCTGTCACAGAAGACATTCTTCCACACAGACCGGTACAACAGACCTGATCAGGTGCTAACGGAGGGGGAAGCCTGCAGAGGCAGCCCTGCTCCTAAGGAGGGGCCAGGACTTGGAGCACTGCCCAAGGGCTCCTTAGCAGACCTAGCCAGGGAAGGTCCATAGGCTCTGGGGCTAAGGGGTGGGCAAACAGCAAGCTGAAGGGTGAGTCCGAGATTAGTACCCAGGAAACAATGCCCCGCGGGATCGGCCAGCACGACCCAGGAAAGCAGGGGTGAGTCAGAGTGCACGGAGGGGTTGGAAGGCACTGAGGGAAGTTCTGGAGATGGGAGGCGGCGAGGGTCAATGAGAGGGAGGTTAACGGAGGGGCCAGAGAGCAGAGAGAGTCCCCAGCTTCCCCTTCTGATCTGCTCCCAGAGAGCCACGCCCTGACTACCCTTCCCAGTCCCAAAGGACACTGAGGCCTGACTGGCTGTCATGCTCCGGTCTTCTCCCAGGCCCTTGTCCAGAGCACATCCTCACCTACAAGCACCTCCTTCCGCTCCAGGATGCTCTTCTGGGGCAGCTGGGCAGCTGAGCTGCCAGAGTCGATGGCATTGTCCAGGAGGCCAGGCCCTGGCTGGGCGCCTTTGGGCAGTGTTCCAGGTGGAGGTGACGGCTTGGCTGCAGCCCCTCCCACAGCCACCACTTCATTGGCGGTGTCTGGTTGTGTGGTCTCTTCCTCTGGCAGCTCAAAGTCCCCACTGGGTCCCCCACTCACTGGCACCTCCGGCTCATCCCGGACTGTGGTCAGGAGGGACTCTGGAGTTGGGGTCTGCAGAGAAGTGGGAAAAGCCCCAAAGTCAAGGCCAGTCACCCCAGGCAACCCTACATATAAGTCCCTACTAGCACTCCATTCCCCAGAGTACTAACACTCTCAGTACTCCCCTCCCTGGAAAACCACACTCTGTGCAAAGCACTGTCCCCACAAGGAGGTATTATTACCTCCAATTTACAGAGTAGGAAGTGAGCTCAGAGAGGTTAAGCAACTTCCCAAGGACACACATCTAATAAGGAGAAGCAGAGCCAAAATCTAGATCTACTAGCCAGGCATGGTGGAGGGCATGCCCATAATTCCAGCACTCTGGGAGGCTGAGGCAAGAGGATTGTAAATGTGCAGCCTTGGCAATTTAGCAAGAGTCTGCTCAGAATAAACAAACAAAGAAACAAAGGTTGGGCATGTAATTCAGTGCAAAGGCCCTGGGATTCAATCCCCAGGACTGCGCCCCACCTACCCCCACCAAAAAACCCCTAGATCTATACAATCCGAGTCCCAGTTTCCAACCATTCTACCATGCTGCCTCTGTGCTTAGTCTGGCCACATGCTGTGCCCAGCAGCTTTCTTAGCAATCTTCAGAAGACCCCTGGGTGCAACTGTTATGGACCTGGGCCTAGCCCCAAGCAGAGGAGAGTCCCTTTGTCAGTCCAAGAGCCCAACTCCATGTCCAGACTGCCAGGCAGTGACTCCCAACCCTGATGTCACCCCAACCTGGATGCAGAAGCAGTGTGGGGACTCCTGAGAGTACAGCAAGGGCTGTGGGACCCATGAAGGCAGGGGTGCAGCTGCTCAGTGTATGGGCCTGGTGCCCAGGCAGGAAGGCAGTGCACCGGGGCTATACCTGCAGCCTGGGCTCAGCCAAACCTCGATGAAAGCACCAGGATGCCCCCGCAGCTCAGAGGAAGCCAGCACAGGGCCCAGTCCCATATGGATAGCTGCTGACTCCAGGAAGCTCTGACCACAGCCCTCTGGGCTCCCATGCCCAGCAAAGTCACATGGACCAGGCTTCTGCTCCCCTTCATCCCTTCCATCCCAAGTGGTCCTCATCCTCCTCTTCCCTTGCACTCCCTCCCCCACCTTATCCCACACACACGCGCGCAGCCCTGCGGAGTGCCCTGTCTCAGGATCCTGCTATTCAGGGTCCCACCCCCTCACTGGCACTGCTGCAGAGCCCTGGCCAGTGGTGTCCCCTCCCTGTGTGTCAGCTGCCTTGTCTTTGAAGGAGCCCATCACAGTGCCCTCTTGGGTGACCGAGGGGCTCAGGATGGAGGAAGCCACAGAGAAGCCTGAGCACGGTTGGCCTGCTGGCAGGCTCCCACCACGAGCTCCGGGGCCCCATCCTCACCGCTCAGCACCGACTCAGCCTCCAGCCAGGGGTAGTCACAGCGATGATGAGACAAGGACCACAGCTGGGCACTTAGTTTGTGTACTGTTGCCAGACCTTGCTGCCAGACTAAGCACTTTGATTTGTCAGGCAATTTAATTCTCCCAGCACTGTGATGGGCTTTGTTACTTTTTCCTTTGTACAGACAAGGAAACGGAGGCATAGGAAGGGTCAGTGACTCACCTGAAGTTACAAGGCTCAAAATCAGAGCAGGCTTCAGATCTGGACTGCTGGCCCTGTCTACGCTCTTCACCAGAACCCTTGGCTCTGCCCCTCCTCACAACACCTCACAGGCTCAGTCCCCGGCACAGTACCGAGCCCACCCCTGGCTTTTCGGCCTACTCTGCCTCTCCAGCTCCATCTCTGTTCCCACGCTGCGATTCATACCCTGCCCCAGCACAGCCCCTCTGCAGGTCCCCCCTGCCTAGCTCATCTCTAGCTCCTCCCTGTTCTCTCTGCCCAGCTCCAGCCTCCTCCCCAGCCCTGACCTCCTTTTGTGCCCCACGCTCTCCCAGTGTCCTCACCTGAGCCACCTCTGTGGGTCCAGGGGCCGTGGTCCCCAGGGGCAAGGTGCTCTTCTCAGGGACATCGGGCTCCTGGGTAGTAGCTGGTCTGGGAAGGGTCCTCGGCTGGGAGGTAGCCGTGCTGACCGGCCTGGGTGTTGGGGCTTCCGTGTCCAGTACAGCCACTGTGGTAGGGGCTGAGGGGGCCACAGGAGTGGTGGCCTGGGCCGTGGCGGCCGTGGTCAGTGGAAGAGGCAGAAGCCTCCGTGTACCAGTGGTCCTTACGACAGCAGTGGTAGCTGTGGAAGGGGGTTCCGCAGGGGTGCTGGGGGCAGCAGTGGCCACAATGGTGGGTGCCATGGCCACAGTCGGGGCCCCTGTGGTGGCAGTGGTGGTTGCCATGGTGGTGGAGACAGTGGTGGCTCTCTGGCTGGGCTCTTCTGGGATTTCTGTCACCACCGGGGGACTGGTGACAGGCTCTGGGGTGGGATGCTCAGAGGGGAGCTCTCCGAAGGGGGTGCCTACAGGCCGGATGTCCGCGGTGGGCAGCACTGCAGGTGTGGTGGACACGGCCAGGGCTACTTCAGGGCTGAACCGCATGGCCGTCTCAATGCCCGACTCCTCAAAGTCTGCAAGGACAGGGAGAGGGAGAAAGCTAGAGAGCTGGGTAGCAAGAGGGGATGAGAATCCCAGGTAAGCAGCAGCCATCTAGGTGACGCCTCCCTGCCCAAGTTTCCAGGAAAACATGAGGGGAAGGAGGAAGACGCGGCCTGGCCACCTCACCAGCTCCTCTAGCCTCGCCAAGCATGCTCCAGGGAGCACCGCCTCCAGGAACCCTTCCTGACTATTCCAGCCCTCCCAGCCTGAGGCCCCTATCAGCCGGAGTCCAAGCAGCAGCAATGAAGGCGCCATTCTCACTTTGGGTCAAAGGGAGCAGAGCTGTGGCATTTGGGAAGAGCAAGGCTCATGCCCACTGCAGACTCAGGGTAGTGAGGGCCCCCCAGAGAAAGGAAGAGGTGAATGGGCCCTTCCCACAGGGGAACTGCTGTGCCACCAGGACAAACAAAGGAACCTGGAGGGAAATGAGACGGAGGGAGCAGGGGCTGGTGGACAGCACAAGACAGAAGCTCAGGGCTCGGGGCTGAAGCAGGCTTGGGAGCGGAGGTGACCCTGCATCCTTGGACACAGCTGACTGGATCCAATGGGGCCACCTGACCCACACCGGATCAATCATTTCTGCTGAGGACCTGCCATGACCACCAATAGCTGGCAGCTAAATTCCTCCAAATGGATGGAACAGTGCCACGAAGACTGAATTACTGAGGTGCACCTGTTTCTGATATGGGTCAGAGAGACTCCAGCAGCACAGAGATTCAGAGACAAGAACAGGGAGTCCCCAGCACTGAAGCCCCTCGGGCCTATTTCACTACCAAGCAGAGCGCTCTGCCCTTTGGGGTCCTGAGACAGCCCCACCTGAACCTCTGCACCCTGGGAGGACTGCAGGGGTCCCTGGGAGTGGTCATTACACACTGGTCATTACACACTGGTCACTGCAGACAGGGAGACGGGGAGGTACTTACAGCCGGAGCCGGACCCCGAGTAGAGGTCATCCAGTTCATCCTCAGGAAAGGAGTCATCGTCCCCGGAGCCCTCAAGGTCCACAGGCCGCTCAAAGTTCTCACTGCGCCAGCGCTGAGCCTGGAAAGGCAGGACACACCCAGGCCTCAGCACCCAAGGCCAGCAGCCTGGTTGCCCACAGACTAACAGCAGGTGCGCTGGAGGGCTGAGTGATATCCACGTGGGCAACAGGGTAGCAGCCCCATCTTCTGCCTGATGCCACCCCGGAGACCCCGACTGCTCCTCCATTCCCTGCTCAGAATCCTTGAGTGGTGGAACCTGGTTTGTGGCCAGCCACTGCTAAGTGTGAATCTTGGTTCCTTTGATTATTAAATGTGGGAGCTGGGGCAAGTTACCTCATCCTTACATGCCTTGGTTCACTCGTCTGGAAACTAAGAGCACCTGCCTCATCGAGCCGTGCTAATTCACAGGCAATGCTAGCACACCCTATGTTGCTGTGTGCTCAGCACAGGTCAGCCATAGTGCTCTATGCAACCGGCATCATCAATCCACTTACAAGTGCTGACCACAGACAAGGTCCCACTGAGCACTCCCGACAGGGCTGGGGTACTAAGGGTATTAGCCCAGTGCATCGATGGAAAAACCGAGGGCCACCTGCCCAGGCCACCAGAGGGCAAGGGATACATAAGATCCAACCTCTGCTTGGGACCTAAAGTGACACCATAAATTCCCAAAGACAGGGGGCACTTAGTACTATCAGGTGCACTTGGGTGTGGGAAGGTTTGGGGTTCAGGGAGGGCAGTTCCCTGGTAGGGAAGCGGAAGGGGAAAAGAACAGGCTCTACCTGCCTATGGTCAGCTCCCTCCACCAGCCTGCCCCACAGTCCAGAATCCACACAGAATACTTGCTGCCTGCACCTCCAGGGGCCGTGACGGGTAAGAGGGGCTCCTCCAAGTTCTAGCTCCCCAGGCCTCAGCTCCTGGGTCCAACTCTTCCCCTTCACTTCCCCTGTAATGCTGGGGCTGCAGCCAGAGCTAAGGACCTCCATAGCAGACATGCAGACCCCCAGAGGGGAACAGGCATGGCTCCCTTCGGCAGCTCTGCCCAGTCAAATCCTGCCCGGAGAGCCCTCAGAGGTGAAGGGTAAGGATGTGGATATGGTATCTGGGTCTGAAACACTGAAAATGGGAACAAAAGGCAGCTCAGGCAGAAGGAAAAAAGCAAAGACTCCAAGGTGAGGAAGTGCAGCCACTGCCCTTGAAACTGGCCCTTCCCCCCGCCCTGTCCCCCCACCCTCTACTGTCCCCCAGCACTCCAGTCCCCATTCTGCTCCATGCCGCTTCGTTCCTGCCTCCATCCCTTCGTCCTCAAACTGGCTGCAGCTAACCTGCAGTGTCACATCACTTCCTTTGAGAAGTCTTTTACTTTGAACTTTCAAGGGTACCCAGTTGTTCTGATTTGTAACACTGTCACTGCCAGTCTGCTTGGGGTTCATGTGTCCAGGGGCGTGTCCATCCTTGCCAAATTAGGCAACATGTGTCCCTGTCTAGCGAGGTGCCTGGCACAGGGTAGTGTCAGAACACATTTGTTAAGGATGGAGTTAGAGTTAGAGGCTGGGGAGGGCACAGCAGGCTGGAGCAGGGGCCAATCACAGAAGGGTTTCAGGCTCTGCAGACCTTCTCTTGGGAACCGGTCACTGCACATCAGAATTTTGTGAGAGCTGAATGCACGGGATCAGTAGGTCTCAGTGCCTGAGCACCTGCAGTGTCTGACTGGCAGTGGGAGCCACAGAAGGCACAGGAGAGGGGCTGGATCAGCACCTCGTGTTCAGCCTCTACTCCTGCCGCCAACAGTGCTCCTCCCGGAGTTCATTCAGAAGCAGGGACAGGATCTCAGTCCTGGCTTCCTGCCCCCGGCCTCAACCACCTGCTCTAAGCCCTGCACAGCCAGCCAGGGCAGGGAGCCAGGAGATACCCCTTCACCACACCACACCACACACACACACACACACACACACACACACACACACACTTCTCAAAGTAATGAATTAATCAGTATTTACTTTCTACCAGTGAGTCATGAAGTGGAACAATTAACATAATTGCTCCCGTGACTAATTGCTGGGTCTTCCTCTTTTAGACATTCCGGGAGTTCAGAGCAGCTACTGTCCAGCTTTTTGCTGCTCCCATCTCTGCCCAGAGGAACAAATCCTCAGGAACACAAGCTGGAATCCCAGGGGACTTTCAGCCTCCTGGGAACTAAGCAGGCACAGGGATTGGGTTCCTGCCCAGGGAAAAGGCCATCTTCGCTTTCTATTCCCTCAGGCAGCTGGGGAGTGACCAGTGACCATGAACTGAAAGGAAGGGTTTTGAGAGATCTGTGGTCCCTGGAACCTCAAAACAGGAGTAAATGTAGGAGCCAAACAGGGAATCCTCAAGTTTCCACGATGACTACAGCCACGTAGCAGCCTCTGACACCTTGACTCCAGAAAGATCAGCACAAATCCAAAGAGCCTCCTACTTCCTAAAGGCACAGACACTAGAAATGACACACCCAAACACACAGAGAATACAGACACACCCTGACACACTCACCTACAGGCAGCCAAAACCAGGCCGCGTGTGAGTATACCTTACAGTGCCACAGGGGAGGGAAGTGGCAGGGGTGGAGGTACTGTGCAGTTCTAAGGCTCGGAGACAAGCATCAAGCCTCCTGTGAATCCATCAGCCTCCACTCAGGTAGCTCTCACCTAGATACTATTCATCCCTAGCTCAGTAGCCATCGACATGACAACCGTTACCATGACAACCATCTCCTATGTGCAAAGGACCAGGAGCTGCAGCTCCCCACAGAGATGGGGGGTGCAGGAGAGGGCAAGATCCTGGAGGAACAGAGGGGGAGGGTGGAGACAGGGATGGAGAGGCAGAGGACAGAGGGGGGCTAGAGGGTGGGGGGCACAGGGCAGGGAAGCAGTAGGGGAAGGCAAGAAGGCACGAGTAGGAGGCGGAACGTGCGCACATCTTAATTTAGCATCCTGCTGATCAGACGAAGCTAGGGAAGGGGCTACCTCAGTGATTTTGCAAGCCTGCATCCAGAAGAACATTCTTCCCGAATAATAAGCAGCCCCTAGATAAGGTGGAGAGGGTGGCTGTAACCCAGCCACCCTTGGAGACCAGGGGACTCGACACTGTGGGTGTTGGTCCCTGTGAAGCACCAAGGGGAGAGGAATGGCAATAGCTTGCTGGGAGTGCCTTAGAAGTCACAAAGTACCCGAGGAAAAAGATGACAAACAGCCTTTGACCCCTAAATGACCTCCACATTTGCATAATTTCATGCACAATAAGCATAATTATCCACACTCTTGCCTTAAAGAACTGAATACAAATGCTCCAGGACACTGCTGGCTTTTCCTGGACCCTCATTGTGACCCTCCTCGTAGACTCACGGCCTCCTCCACCAGACAGGGTGGTGCACATACACACACACACACACACACACACACATGCGCGCGTGTGCACAGGCAAAGTGACTGACAAACCATAAAGCCCAGCATCCTCGTGCATGCACTGCACACCCCAGCACACACACACACCACACAATTAAGAACAGTGTTTGCCAACCCCAACTTGTATATCCACTAGAGCTTATTGGGAATACAGCCCAGTGTATTGCAGCACACACCTCCCATCTGCTATACCCTGAGCTTCGCACACCCACACACGCACTAAGGGCACTCGTGGACACCCAACTCAGCCTCACAGATGACACACATAAACCTCAGCAAAGAGCACGCCCCCAGAAAGGCCTGACCTCCTGCTTCCTTCCACCACCAAGGCCAGGGCAGACAGCCATCAGGGTCCCAGGCAGGCCACTCCGGTCTGAGCATCTGGGCTGAGGGAAGCCACAAAGGACTGGGGGCTCCAGCAGCCTCTGTGCACCCTGCAGAGGGCCTGTGCGCCAGATGCTAAGAGTCCTGCCTCCCTCATCCCCATCCCACGGATGCATATGCTGAGTCTGGATTAGGACTGAGGTGTAAACATGAGTCCTTGGTCCCTGACACTTTTGCTCAGTGTTCTCAGGGCCACCCAGACCCACTGCTCCTCCTGAGCCAAATTCCTACACCTGGGACCACAGCTCCCACTCACCGGCAGCCATGTACACCACCCAACGTCCAGACGGCCTCACCAGCTCACAGCACACAGCACACACTGTGAGCCCCCAGCCCCCACCCTGCTGCCACCTGCTTGGTCGCCAGGTCCCTGAACAGTCCCTGCCCTACCAGGCACACACGGCCGTGCCCACCACCAGGCCCCTTGCACACGCGCGCGCACGCACGCACACACACTGCTGGGAATATGTAAGTGCACAGGCACATCCCCAGGTAGATGTGGCATCCTGGCCCACAAACCCACATCCTGCCAACCCTCCCACAGCCTATCACCTCTGCCTGGAGCTGACTGGTAGCCTCAACCCACAGAACCTCTCTGGCTTCCAGCCCAGCACAGCCAGCCCCAGCAGTGACTCATTTCAGAGCCGCTCGGGAGCTGGCTGGTCCCCTCTGGGCTGCCCACCCTCCCTGGACCACAGCCGGGGCTGGGGTGGGGAACGTCCTGAATCAGCTAGAGGTCAGACGGGTACCTGTCCTTCCCCAGTCACTCATACTCACCATCCGAGGACAGGGGACATGCTCAGGAAAGCCAGCCTCTTCCCTCACCCCCGGCCCCTTCAATCCTGCACAAGAAGTCTGTGGTCTCTCGTGCCCAGCCCCCACAGCCTTCCCCTGCCCACCACAAGCTATCCAGACAGGGTGGCACGCAGATGAACCCAGAATCAGTCTGTTCCTCCTATCACTGCCCACTGTTTGTGAGCAAGTCACTTAAACTCTCCGCACCTCAGCTGTCCTCTCTGTAAAATGGAGATGATAAAAGGGGGTGGCTTCAAGGCTGAGGATTAAGATCACATAAGTAACAAATGCTGGCCCCAAAATAAGCAAAAGCAGCACAACATAACACAGCCGGGTTATTTTTAGTTACATGCTCGTAGCTCTATGACCATCTCTGGAGACTTGACCTCACTGAAGCCTCAATCTCCTCCTGAGAGGGTAAATGTAGATGAGGCTA